CTGAGACATGATATCCTTTAAAGAAAAACGACAAACATTTAAGGAGAATAAACGAAAGAAATAGAGGAAGACAACATAACACCAAGGACCACGAGATTGTCAACATCGCATTTGACTCACTAGGGAGCAGAACATCCCAGCTCGTAATACAGGGCAACTGAGGTTCTTCAAAAAAAAAAGACAAGACAAGACAAGAAAAGAATTGGGGAGGTTACGCACCACATATGTTTCATGATCAACTTTACATTTCAGATACCCATCATACGCTGACGACTTAAGCATTGTCTGCAAGTTGCTCACCTTGGAGGTGATGCAAGCTTGACTTGTTGAACGTAACGCTGCTGCTGCCGAAAAGGGATGGATGATCCATTGCCTGGCCTTGTGGCAACTGCTTCTCTGTCTCCCAGATTCTGAAAATGGACCCATTACACAGCCCATGTGTTTGAAGAGGGTATTACGTCCAGTCACCAACGATAATTATTTTATCTCCTTCAGGGATGATCATCGACAATTCCGAGAAGAAGATTGCTCTCTCTCTGGTTTCGACTGGCGCATAGATACATACAATGATCTTGCAGGGGTTGCTTACCATGACACAATTCAACATGGCCAGGCGGCGATGGCCACTCACCCTTGGCCCCCAATGACCCACAACGCTTACAGCTCGCAACCACTGCCTTTTCTGCCAATCCCTCTGCCATAACAGGGACAGCTGGTGCAGATGCATACTTGAGGGCACGTGCGTGCACCGGCGGGCGCTGGTGCACGATATGGGACCACACAAAAACCGACAAGGACAAACAGTAAGGCAAATAACCTGCGACAGTCAGACATTCAGATGCGCTCTGACAGGAGCATTTGAGTCATTACAAAGTTGACAGTGCTGATGCCCTAATCAAGAACGTCCTAGCATGACTATGCCCTGACTGCAGAATAGCGCTAGCGCTCTGGGACCCGCGGGTAGCCAAGTCTGCCCGCCTGGATTCGCACACGTGCCCAGGGGACACCTCGCCCCCTGGGTCTTGAGTACCCACGTGTCCCAGTCGTGTTGACCGCTGTGGCAAGACCACGTGGACTACGTTGGGTGCAGTGACGCCATGCGCGACTATCTCAGAGACAAGGGTCGGATTCACCGTGCCGGATATCGAGGAGCGGATACTGGAAAAATCAGCATACAAGCTACAGCACTGTGGAACAGGGGAGCGCACCGGATATCAAGGAGCGGATACAGGTTCGCCACGGCAGAAGTGGAGGGGCGGGTGCAGTGAAGGAAAGAGTGCACACTTGGGACGGAAGTGAAGGAGTGGATACAGGTCTGACATGGCGGAAGTGGAGGACCGGGTACAGTGAAAGAAGGAGTGCAGAATCGGGACGGTGGAGGTTAGACAGCTGTCCCGACACTAGGGAGTGAACCCGGACCTGGCACCGCGGGACAGCTTCACGACATAACTCAGCTGATCCACACACGACAAGGGGACATCACCGAGGGGAGGACAAAGGCGAGTCACGCTACAACACTGTAGTAGAGGAGAGAGAGGTGAAAAGCGGGAGGTGGAAAAGTCAGCGTACAAGCTACAGCACTGTGGAACAGGAGACAGACATAAAAAGCGGGGAAGGAAAAAGTCAGCGAATCCGGGAAACACTGCGGACGTCTATTAGGGAATCAAGTTGAGTTGGTCGGGGCAGAAGGATCTGACATGGCTCGCGAGGAAAGACCCAGCCCGCGCTTCTGACGGTTTGCGTCCCCAATGCTCCCTGACATCCCACCCCCTAGCATACCACCCTGTGCCATCCTCTCTTCGTCCCATGTGTCACTGAGCCCAAATACCCCTTTGTGTCTCCCCAATGCCCCTTTGCATATCCCCCTCCTCTTTCTATCCCCCGTACCACTAAGCCCTAATCCGGTGTAGGGACTGATATTGCGTTGATAAAGTAACAGTCCACTGTCTTGTCGGACTGATATTGTGTTTATAAGGTAACAACCCACTGTCTTGTCCGTGGTCTTCGCCGATCGATCGAATCGGTTGATTGACGTCCGCCTGCGGTCTGCGCTCACAACTGGGCCAATGGACGCGGTGAGCAACAACTCTGCTGCTGAGCCCCATCGCTCATCACTTCACTCTGACCGTGGGGGAGCAGAAGCAGGACCCGCGGAACAGGTTCGGCAGGTTCGGCATGATCCCGAACCTCGTAAACATCGAGAGGCAAAAACTGAGTACACGGCACAAACACACAAGGTAGAGTCATGGAAGGACAAAGTGGCTCGTGTGGGAGGAGGGGGAAACATCTTCACCACCCCATCCTCCTCATCAGAGGCGGCACGTAAACCGCCACCCCAATTGCTCAGGGCACTGTCGGAGCAAACCCGGGTAGATCTTCCACGCTCGCCCCCTTGGCTCCGCTTAAAAGCCACCTGATACATCAAGTGTATGTTGAGCCAGAGAGAAAATTTCAAGTGAAGCAAGGCTACATATACGCTCACTCGATTTTCTCTCCCCAAGCCCGGGCGAGACGAGATGGAATCTATACACACAGAGCTGTCCAATTCCGGTTTCAACCCATACACTGGGCGATTTCGGTCAACGAGAAAATAAAGTGGATTACGGAAAAGTTGGAGAGGATAAAACCTGATCGGCAGTTGGCTCATGACCACTTCCTAATTGAAGTGGACAGCCCTGATTGCGTTACAGTTGTCGCTCTTTACCCAGCAGATAAACTGCTTCTCCTGAAGAACAACCGACTGCAGTTTAGAGGCCACGATGTGCAACTCTCCGCGTGGTCCCCCGTTGATCCGCAATCTTCTGACGAAAGAAGAGAGTACCTTATGAAGTCGAATTTTTGGGTTGAATTCCGTTTTGCACCTTTGTGTGTACAAGGAGCAATTCTGGCTGACTTGGAAGATATAGCGCGCGTCACAGGATACATCACTGACCTACCCCAGTTCCTGGGGAAGAGAGACGATTCGTTGCTGGTGGCGGTGGAATGGGATCCGGACTACCCTTTCCCCCTCAACGAGGAATGGAGGTACTCCCTCGAGGGTAAGGAATTTTCAGTCCCGATCAGCCACACGCAAGACCCTTGGTGCTATGCATGCAAGCACAGAGGTCATCTATGCACTGACAGTGACTGTCCAAAAAATGACCTTAAAACGAAAATCAAAGGACTTGTCACCCCACACCCCTCGGATGAGGAGAGATGGTACCTTGAGGAGCATGAACTCCGGGGCTGGATATTTAAAGCATACGCAGGCGGTCGCCCTGGGAAATGGATGTGGCAAGGGAAGGGAAAACCAGCAGCGACTCTGGCAGGTGCTGAAGTGATTATCACTGATGATCGCAAGCAAAAAGGCAAACAGGAGGAACACCCAGTCCAGGACAAGACCCACGACCACCCCCAGCGAGACCTCGCACCCACCGAAGGGCAGCCTCGCCAGGAACACAACACCGTCGGTATCGAGCAAAATAAATGCTCCGATAGTCAGGACCGCCCGAGAGTGCCTTCCAAGCCTGTGACGGCCCCCCCTCAACGGATCTACAAACCTAAACAAAAGCAAAAGTTTGATGGGGAGTCACAATCTAATCAACAGACAGATGACCCGGAACCCAACAAGCACAGGACGCTGGAGGACGGATCACTAGGATTGACGACAAAGGAATACCCACCCCGGGACCCCGATGTGCTCGATCAGCCGAGAGTTCCATCCAAACCTGCGATGGCTCCCCCTCAACAGATCTACAAACCGAAACTGAAGCCAAAGTGTGAGGGGGAGTCACAACGCAATCGACAGACAAAAGATCCTGATCCCAACAAACATGGGACGCAGGAGGTCGGACTACATGGATCGACGACAACACAACATCCGCCCCGGATCCAAGATCTCTACCACCCGCCCCGGATCTCAAATAAGCACAACCTTCATCAGCCTGAAATCCATGTCAACATGCGATAAAAGCGGGCAGACAAGCGGGTGGAGATGCCTAAGCAACTTCGCCTGGAAGATATTGGCACCGAAAAAGTCCCACAGCATGAGGGAAAGTGCTTGCCTGTTGGAGAACAACAACAAGGGAAGGACAACATCGGACAGACAAGCGGGTGGAGATGCCTAAGCAACTTCGCCTGGAAGATATTTGCACCGAAAAAGTCCCACAGCATGAGGGAAAGTGCTTGCCTGTTGGAGAACAACAACAAGGGAAGGACAACATCTCTCAACGGGCGGTCCACCTGGCGACAACAAAAAATGCGCTGACCTTGACCTCCCTGCCCGCTCGATCGGATCACGACACTACACCAACAAATGCGGATGGGGTTGTTGAGCGAAGCTCTCCTCAGCGCGGGCAGGGGCTGGGCGGGGAAGATCCAAAACATGATGGTGTACATAAAACCCCTGCCCCAGAGATGCCAAACGTGCCCGGCCACAACCAGCCCCGAACTGCCATGAATTACCACAATGGGGGCACGAAGAACCCACCCCCCTCCCAGCTAGCACATCATCGAGTACAGAAGGGCAAGGAACACCACAGACCAACTCAGGACCCAGCATCTAAAGAACAAGCTGGTAAAGGACTTAAACCCAGGGACATGTGGCTTAAAGCCAACTCCTTGCTAAACAAATTGAAGGATGCTGCTTTCCCCCAACAAGGGGAACCATCGCTGCCCAACCGCAGTCAGCATGATATGAATATCGACCCCCAACAGGGGATGGGAGGAGCACAGGTAACTGGGTTGTCGACCGAACAGCAAGGGGAAAAACAATCCTCTCCCGCTGAGCCCAGACAACCCGGCACAACAAGGGTAATCTCTCAAGTTACAGGAGAGATCAAATTCCTGCCGCCTGGGAGCCCGCAACACGACATGCAGCGAATTCGAAAGCTGGAGCTTGAACATGACGAAGCTACTGCAGTCGCCTCCCACCAGCACCCTCTGCAACAGCCGGCGTTGCAACAGGAGCATCACCGCTCGCAAGCTCATATGGGGCAAAGCCCGGAGGAACAGCAGCCAACCTGGCGATTGAGCAGCAAGGGGCCCCTACAACTGCCCACCCGCAGCCGTTGCAACAGCTGCTGTTGCAACAGCAGCAGCATCACCCGCGAACCCTGGTCGTGCATGGCCTGCTGGAACAGCAGTCCAAACAGGGGGACAGGCTACCTGAATATGACGACGCAGCTGGAGCCCACCAACAACAGCCTTTACAACAACAGTCGTTGCAACAGCAACAGCACCACCCGCATGCCCCGGAGCCTCCCCATCATAAACAGGAGGAGCTGCCGTGGCAACAACACCTGACGCATGGAGGGCAGGGTCTGCTCGAGCACCGAACGCTGCAGCAACAGCCCCAACAATTGCAAGAGCTGGAACAGATGCAACAACTCTCAGAGCACCAACCAGTGTTTGGGCATCACCACCCACTGCAGCAGCCCCAACAACAACAACAGCAGCAGATGATATCTCATCCGTCACACCAACCCACACTGCAGCAGCACCTCCAAGATCAGGCAATGCAAATCCAGCAAGACCAGCAAGTGATGCTACAACAGCGCCAGCGTAGTGCACAGCAGGACCAAACGTTACAGGATCAAACGCTGATGCACCAGCAACTACAACAACAACCACAACAACAACAGCATCAACATCAGATGCAACATCAGATGCAAGAACAGTTGCTGACGATGCATCAACATCAGCATATACCACAGCAGGAGCAAACGCCCTTCGTCCAACAGTTGCAACAGCTGCCACAACAGCTGCATCCTCAGCACTTAGTACCACAGCTGCAAGTACAGCAACAACAACAACTTGCAATTCAACAGCACCCGCAACTGCAACTGCAACTGCAACTGCAACAACAGCCATAACAACAACAGCAACAACACCAGCTGCAAGAGCAGTTGCTGACGATGCATCAACTTCAACTGGCGCCGCAGCAGGAGCAAGTTTCGCACCTACACCGACAACAGCAACAGCAAGATGCAGCAATGCAGCACCAACAGAATCTGCTGTTGCCACGTCATTCAAGTGAGCACAATGAGCCACAGGGACTGCCACAGCTGCGTAGAGAATGCGATGACCAACTCCGTTCCCTCTTGCAAGCACAACTCGCACAGTACCACCACCAGCAACATCAACAAAGGGTGTTACTTCAACAACAGATTCTACAGCAGCTGCACCTGCAATGGCAACAACAACTTTGCTGCCAACAGGAAATCATCATGCAACAACAACTGCAGCAGCTGCAGGTGTTTTGGCATCAGGAGATGGAAATGCAAAAACAACAACAGTGCCTCACACTGAACGACCCCCCTTTGGCCATGGCTAAGGCAGAGTCACAGATGGTACAGGACATGGATACCTCAAGCCCGGACGAGCCACCACAGACAATACAACACCACAGCCACGCTTCGGACCCGGGGGGCGAGGATATTGTAATGACCCAGGCCGAGGCTCCACTACCCCAAGATAGCCCGCCCCCCTCTCCCCCTCCTCTCACGGACAATGAAGAAGTCAAACAGAAACTGACTTTTCTTACCGAATGGACTCTGACCAAGATATTCTCTATGGCCGAGGAGGGCTCTCAGACAAAACTTACCTCTAAGTATTGGGCCCAGGCCAAAGAAGTTTTGATGTTCACCCCACGAGTTCTGGCCACTGTCGAAAAGTATAGTAATATACAGTCTATTGACTGGATGGAAGTCGGTGCAGAAATTGTCTTAGTTGTCAACGAGTTCCTGGACAACATAGAACAGTATGCAAAAGAAAGATTTGTCCACAATCGCGATGCGCAATGCTCTGTCAACACTTACACCCACGATGATGCATTCTACCACGAAGGACTGGCTTGGTCTAAACTGCTGATCCAGGAACTTTGTGCTACTCTCCATGGCCCCGAGGCTGCCGCTCTCATCCCACTGGAACAAAATCATGGCCAACTGCTCACATGGGAAGATCAACCGCAACACCCCGAATTGCAGTGTACATCGCCCCATCGCCCCCGCAGAATTGAAATCTTGCATAATGACGAGGATGACGAGGACGATTCGTCATCCAAATCAGAGGACGGACTACTCGATGAACCCCCCAGGGGGCTCCTGCGGGATCGGTTGAGACTGTTGACTGATGGGTCCACCCCTGTGCAAACGCCACCCGGGGTGATCATCTTCCCAATAACTCGACAGAAGAATGGAGCCCAATGGCTGCTCGGACTCAAACCTCCCCCGGATCGGCCTGTGCATCAACCCCCGGACCCCGACGGCCTCACTGTTGAGGGATGGAGAGGCTGCCCCTCTACAGCCGTCATCCTAAAACGTCTCAAATATTGGCGCCGGGAAACACAACTGGAAGGTGTCCAGGGCGCGATCCTGCCAAGTTCACTGTCATTTCCGAAAAGGCTCATCCCGGTGATTGTTCTCATGAGTCTGAAAACCACGGCACGAAAATCTGAGTCAACACATACATGGTTTACACACCAACAGCTAATGAGCCTGCCCACCGCCCGCTTCAGAACCAATTTCGCCTGGACTCGGACCAGGGTGCTATGGTTCATGCAGATCTTCATCGAAGACAGCGTGATGGAAGAGCACAATCAGTGGGACGACCCGCCATTCGTCCTACCAATCAAAGTTGCAGACTAAGATGACTGACACTCTCCTATCGCTGGTATAGATAGAATAGTATAGACCATGGACCCAAGCAGACATCCATCGGACCCTGGCACCACCACGCAACCCACAACGCCTACCGTCCCCCCCCCACTCACCCGCCGCCTGCCTTACCCACCCATCCACGACCCCCCACCCCTCTCCCATCCCCAACCCACCCCAGTGCCCCCCGCCTCCTACAGTTTTCCCTCCTATTAGGAGGAAGCCTCAGTGGGCAACGAAATTAGAGCAGGCGGATATTGATATCCGGTCACTAAATGTCAACGGGCTCATTCAGGCAACGACATCGAAAAAAGATGCCATATGGAATATGCTCAGGTGCCCGCAAATGAAAATAAGTCCTGGTGTTTGCTCGTCGATCTACGGTCCATCACCGGGTCCGATGTGGTATTGAAATCTCCTGCTAGTATAATAGGAGCATCTTCGGGCAGGAGGTCATGGAGGGTGAGCCAAAATTCTACCCTGGCTATTAGATTGTTGGGAGCATACACGCTAACCAGATAAAAGTCCTCGTTTTCGAACTGCAGTTTTAGACAAACCCATCTGCCGTGTAGATGATCGTACTCAACCGCAAGCGGTGTGAGCTTTGAGGTCGGCGGGAGCCAGATTGCAACTCCTACCGACGCTCTATCTTTTGCAGGTGCAGCATACGATGTGTACGGCCAGGCCTATATATACTATACGATACGCTTGAATTCTCCAAGTATTGAATTGAATTGAATTCCAAAACCCTAAACCCCGGCCTGCAGAACCTGGGGCTAAGTCTAGACCAAACCAACCCGATTCTACCGGACTTTGGGAGGGGGGAGGAATTTCAAATGGGCCGGGGGAATCCGAGAGGGGTCTGAGCGGGATGGATAGGTCCACTTTGGACCAGTCATGAAAAAACAGATGATAATCTCTAAGAAGGTCCCCTTGGGGTCCCAAATTCCCACTGTATCATCCCAAATTTTCCACCGTTGGGACTCCCAAGACAGCGGTTACTAAACTGATGTAGGTTTTGCTGAATCTCAGTTTTGCAGTGAAGGTAAGCAATGTGTTCCTTCACTCCATTCCATTGTGTTGCAATGTCTGTTTGGACTTTGAATCTGCTGTTTGATTGTCTCCATAAATCAGGTGCATCTAGGCGTATCTGCCCCGTATCATTAGTGCAGCGTCGCCACCAGAGGGCTGAAAGGGATAGCTCTACGTCCAGCTTTAAGGAGATTTAGTGTGAAGGAGGTGGGCTGATCTGGGTGCCAGGTTTCACAGAGGAGAGCTCACCAATCCCACGACCATGGGTGGGATGTACAGAGTTGGCGCCGCATCAGTTCCCACCACCGCCAGAGCCATAGCGCATCGGGGCATTGGAGTAATATATGCTCTATGGTTTCTGGGATTCTCCAGGTGGGGTACACTGTGATGGGTGACTTAGCATGCAGCACCAGTTTCATTACTTTTCACAGCTGAGGCCAGATTTCAGGGTCCCATCTCCTTAGTATAATTTTCCTTCTTTTTTTTGACTCACATTACCTATCCTGATATGTTAGGCCAGTTCTATAATTGGTTGCAGTTATGGGTTAAACGGTTAAACCACCAGTACTTGGCCCAGCTATTGATGTCGAGCCGGGATACCCCCTGCGCGCCAAGTTTTGCCGAGCTGTCGGGGCACCGTTTCGTTTTGATTTTGGCTGGCGCTTTCAGCCATTGCGGTTCGGTGCCCCGAAGCCCGCAACTACCGGCGCGTTAACGGGAATCGCCCGCGACCAATAGCTGGGCCAAGTACTGGTGGTTTAACACTCCCTAACAGTTCCCAGCCTCCGCTCTATACCGGGGGAGCAGTACCCCGGCTCCTAACACCTGGTGCGAGCCGAAAAGGGCGAGCCAGACCCTTCCACAACCAGCCAGGAGGCCCAAGCCAATTCTCTACACTGGTGAACCCGAAGGCATATCACAGGGGGGGCGCGATAACGAAATGGACGACAGACGATGTGGGAAATCGAACCCACAAACCTCCTGAATACCACTTATGTGCTCGACCAGGTGAGCCTTAGTAAATTTTCCTTTTTGGGATGAACAGTAAGTTCTCTCTCTTTTCAGACTGTATATACCGGGTACGGAGAACGGTCGGGAATTCTTCCTTTGAAGGAGCATTCATGGGTAGCACTCTCACTATCAGGTCAGAGTGAGTGACCAGGAAAAGAGGGGAAAACAAGACCAGTAAGCTAAATGCCGCATCTTAAACCGCATGTACACGCCCCCCCAGCCTTGCAGAAAGTTTTTGTCGCCACAAGCGAAACTCGGAGGGGCCGCGCTGCGTGGGACGCCGTTGAAAAAAAAAAATCGGCGGCCTCCGAAGTGGTGGTGCGGGTTTCGTGCTGACACCCGCGGGCCGATGTGTGGTGTACTGGTGCTTTAAACTGACCTTGAAGTTCTTGCTAATGCTCCCTGTAATGCAAGTCGGAATTGCTTTCTTTGAGTGAGCATGGGGAGGACGCACACTACACCAAGTGGCACTTAGCATGTCTCGGGCCTCATCAGTGGTGGTCCCAGAGAAAGGTGTGGCACTCTGACCAGTCAGTAGGCTAAGTGCCACACCTTAAGCTGACCTTCAAGTTCTTGTCGGTCGGCTTTCCCGCCATTCCTTTGCTCCTTGAAGATGTCCTTCCACTCCATTGCTGATTTTCTCCTTCCCACTTCGGTCTTGCTTTCGCGATGACCTGCTCACTCACCTCGGTGGAGCTTCACACATTTTTCGTTTTCTTTTTCACGCTGATCCGAAACACAATGTTGAGTAGTGGGTTGCATGTGCTGGTGCCGAGCAGTCTCAATGTGGCTGCTGGTGGACTGAGTGAACTGACAGTGCCATCAGGCCGTGCATGCTGCATTGACTAGGTTGGGTCAGACGAGCAAGAGCGTAGGCTGGCTATCGTCTTCACCCGAATAGAATGCCTGGTCATTATCGCTGCATCTGGACCGAAAGTTGTGCCAAATACAGCTATAATGACCAGGCGTTCTATTCGGGTGAAGATGGTAGTCGGTAGATGGTGGTGGTACTATAGTGGTCGATGGCTGTGGGAAAGTTCTTCTGAGTTCGAGCTCGGAAGAATTCGGGCCAAGTTGTACACCTTTCTTGTGCAACGAAAGGTTTGTTCCATTTCACATAGGGACATTTTTACATCACAGGAGAAAAGGGAATAAAAATTATAAAACGCTTAACCTACTATGGTGTTGGAGAATTTCATCTGTCCAACTTCTCCCCTCTTCTTCTGGTTAAAGTGGATATTGAATGATTATACCACTGTCTTGGAGTCGTTCGTTTAGCTTGTTTCAAACATTTCAGCATAATATTGTATGCTGACGTTGTCCAGGGCGGATTAATGGGATGGTTGCATCCTTTTTTTTTTTTTTTTTTTTTTTTTTTTTGACCAAACAAAGGCTCCATCTATTGGTGGGGAGGGCTCCATCTATTGGTGGGGAGGGCTCCATCTATTGGTGGGGAGTTGCACCTGCTGGAAATCGGGTCCAGCGTCCCTACAAAGATTTATCAAGGTTATCAAGTTTATCAAGGCTATCAAGGTATGAGTTCGATTGTTTGTTTGTTGGTTTGTTGGCTGTGTGTGAGGAGTATGAATATGAAGACCACTTTTTTTTCTTTTTTTTTTAACAGAAACCCGTGGTATCAGATTGGAGTGATGATAAGAGCATACACTCCTACCTGACACACTGGGGGCTCCAGACTATTGGTGGGGAGCTGCACCTGTTGGAAAACGGGTCCAGCGTCCCTAGTGTTGCAATACAAAGATTGAAAAGTGAACACTTGCTGGGAACCAGGCCCAACGTCCCCTGTACCTCTTCACCCTCAATAGAGTGGCGCCAGATTGAACTCGTAAGCTCTGGTACTGATGAGAAACTACTGACTTTGATCATAACAGTGACTCTTCTTCGATCTGTGTTTGTATTGCTTATCTTGTGCCCATCAGGCTGATGGTAGGTTCAGCTAGTAGCCGAAAAAGTTCCGTGAGTCCTTCTACCATGAAGTTCCGGGGGCGCAGCGCTACCGGGAGCGCTGCGCCCCGGCACCAACCACGGCAGCGGAGTGAGGCGGTTCTGGCGCGCTCAATCGGACGAAGTGGTGCATGGCGATGGCGAGACAGAAGAGATGGTGGGGTAACGGAGGAGTTGCTGGGCTGGGTATCGAGCTTAGGGTAGCTGCTTACTAGGCGTTTTGCACATGCGCGGGGAGCGAAGGTGCTTGTCTATACCGTATCACAGGTTGATAGGGAGAATAGACCGACTCCCGGGGGCTTTCT